AAAACCTTAACGGTAAGTCGAATACTAGAGAGAGAGAGAGAGAGGGAAATTTCATCGATCGGTAAAAAAAGATTGGAGAAAGAAACAACGGTACAAAACAACGAGTGGACACTAACCTATAGAAAAAAACGTCTCATTGACTTTGCTGCCACCAAGAGATAACGTCCAACAGCTCCTCGTCCTCGGGGCTCATTGGCTCGTAATTGTCGTAACCGTCGGAGTGCGCGGCGTAAAGGGTGCCCGAGGTCCCGTATCCTTGGCTGCCAGCTGACGACGCCTCGGAAACGAAGCTCGGCGTAGGCGAGCTCGAGGCCTCGGAACAAGGCGTCGGGACGAAAGTCGGCGAAGGATTTTGTCTCAGGTGTTGGTGTCGATGGTGCAAATCGCCGTGGTGTCGAATTTCGTTGTTGTTGCTATTATTATTGTTGTTGTTGTTGTTGTTGTTGTTGCCGGTACTGTTTACGTTCCCGCGAAGTCTGAGCTCGGGCGACGAATGACGATGGACGGCGGACGACTCGACGCCGATCGTGGAGCTGCACGTGGACGAGGCGGAGGAGGGCGAGGAGGAGGAGGAGGAGGAGGTAGGGGAGGAGACACTGGCCACGTCGGAGCCCGTGTCGTGCTCCTCCAAAAGGCGCTGCAAACTCCTTATGTACTCGACCGCCATCCTCAACGTCTCGACCTTGGACAGTTTTTTACTACCGGCCCTGGAACCACCGTGGGTCCCGGCCGTGCTCCCGCCCAACGCCTGGGCCACGCTCTGCGGTATGTGCTGCCTCAACGTGGCGAATCCATTATTCACCTGCTTCACGCGATTCCGTTCCCGGGCGTTCCGCCTCGCGACCGAGGCCGGTTGATGAGGAACCGTCCCGTAGGGGCCGCCCCCCTGCCCGTAAATCTTGGATCGCTTGCAACCGTGCTGCTGGATCTTGTTGATGTCGTTGGCCGGGACACCGCTCGTCGAGACGATCACGTTTCCCCGATGGCTTTGCCCGCCGCTTGCGCCGCCGCCCCCTCCGCCGCCCGTCGCCGCCGAGGAGCCGTGAAGATGCGGATTGTGATGATGGTGGTGGTGGTGGTGGTGGTGGTGTTGCTGTACGCTCAACATGACGGGCAATACGTTCGATCCCTCCTTCGACGAGCCCACTAAGGTCATATCACTGTTTCGATGCCCCCCCCTCCCCCACCTCCGACGCCCGGTGGGAGCACGGGTGCGCTGCTGGAGCGCGTGCCGGATGACCTTGACCAATGGAATCCTCCTCCTGGATCGATATCGATTCGGGAACTAAACACGGGAAAGAACTCTTCGAGAACCGATTCGATTCTCACGATTGTCGACCACGATCACGATCACGATCACGATACTACTGATTTTTCTTTTCTCTCAACTCAAGTCCTTTCTTCCTCCTTCTCACAAACTCGGATGCAATTCGACGCGTGCGACGAGTTGACGTGAGGAGACGTGAGGTTGGGGAGGGAGAGAGGCAGAGAGAGAGAGAGAGAAAAGGGAGGGGGAAATATATAGGAAACAACACACGGGAACACGTCGCTAACGAAAAAAAAAAAAAACGAGAGACAAGGAAACGAGACGACAGTTCGGAATCGCGGAATTTATGTGTAACGAGAGATCGGTGAAGTCGCGAGAGAAACTTAAAAAAAAACCGCACCCTTGACGCTCACGGTACGGATCTGGCTCCCGAAATGCCTTACTAAGAAGGGTTCGAGGCCTTATATAGCCAGGGCGGGCACGCGCCTATCCCCTCCATAAGGCCTCATACTCGATCTCGGGCCTAAACCCCCATCTTCTCCCCCACTTTCCCACCCTACTGGCTTGCAGCGCCTCATACCCCTGTCCACATCCCCACCACTCCTCCATCCATCCAAAGGCCCTACAACGCCCGAGATTCTCATCTTCGTGAATCGCCCTCTTTCGTGCACTTTCCGCCATCTACTTCGCCGTTATCGATCACTGATAATATACTCTCTCGTTTCGATCCTCGTGCTTCCAGTTCCAACTTCTCCCTATTTCCCACGCAATTTCTCTTCCGTAGTCATCCTCCTCCTCGTGCTCCTGTGAAACAAAGCATTTATGAAAAATTCGTAATCGCGTTACGTCACGATTTCTTCGACCGAAACGTGATTAACGCGAAACGTAAATCATCCTGCATAACTGTGATGATCGTGGAAAATATTGGAACGAAGAATTCTTGCTTGAAAAAAACAAAACAAAACAAACAAAACAAAAGAAAACAAGAAAAAAAAAAAGAAAAAAGAAATCGGGGCTCGCGACGATCCCCGAAAATTCGTGCACGCGTGAGAGACACTGGCACGCAAGCAAGAAGGGTCCGCATCCCCACCGACCGGCTTGTGTGTCTCAGGGATCGAAATTTGAACAGTTATATATCGGGAGAAAGAAAAGCTGGTCCAGAGAGAAGCCGGTCGAGAGAGAGAAAGAGCGAGAGAGAAAAGATGCGTGGCGAGGAAGGAAGAAGACGAGCGGTAAGAGGACGACGAGGAGAAGGAGGAAGAGGAGAACGAGGAGGGAGTGGTGGCGGGCGAGGAGGGAAGGAAACTAGGCAGGGAAGAGGGCGCGGAGCGAGGGGGCGCGTATGGAGGATACGTGGGCCCAAGTTGGGGGCAGCGGCGTTACGGGAACGCCGGTGGTGGTGAAGAGGGCAGGGGGTGGAAGACGTGAGCCGTTCCCCCCACCTCGAGCCGTGGCGCGCGCCGACCCCCATCCATCCACTCGCTCCTCCCCACCACCGCTCCCTTTTATCCGCTACGTACGAAGCGTGCGTGCGTGTACTAGGACGCACGCGTGCTTGCCGGGCCTCGTGCTTAAGGGGAGGACGTGCGCGCGCACGTAAGCGCGCGTGGACCTAGCCTTGTGTTAGTGCGTGTGTGCGCGCTCACGCGTGGAACAGGTATATGCCCTGTTCCTTCTTCTTCTTCTTCTTCTTCTTCTTTTCTTTTTTTCATTTTACCGGCGCTCTGTCTCCTCCTTTTTTTCTATCTCTTTCTCCTTATCTCTCTTTCTCTCTCTCTCTCTCCATCTATGCGCGCCTATCTTTTTCTCCGTTGGAAAAAAAGCGGCGCGCGTAAGGGGCACTCGACGAGGGCCACTGGACGTTTCTCCCCACGCGCGCGTATAAGTACGCGCGCGGACCGAGCGAGTCGAGGCTGCGTGATAAATATCCGACGGCCGAACGTCGTCTCGTCTCGCGTTCGGATTTTCGACAGATAAAGAAGCGCTTTCACGTGCTCTCCGACTAACTTGTATCCAGGTACTCGCGTGTAACTGATAACGCGGTGATAAGCGGTTACCACCGATACCGTAGTCATCCTCGCGATATCGAAACCTAAACTCTCTCCTCGAGTTTTCTCATTTCTTTTCTTTTTTTTTTCTTTTTTTTTTTTTTTTTCCGTTTTCGCGAAATAACGAAGAGTATTATTAATTTAATAATCGGCTCTCTGTTACCGGCCGAGTTCCTTTCGAAGGAAAGATCGGCGACTCGCCTCGAACTAAGTTTTCCTCTTTACGTTTTTTTTTTTCTTCTTCCTTGCGATTCCTGGTTTCCTCAAGGACCAGGGTGAAAGGCAGTGTAGAGAGAGAGAGAGGAGGGGGGAGGGGGGGGGGAAGTAGT